ATATATATATGTATCGAGGAGCTTTGTAGGTCCGCATATAAAATACTGCAGAGCTTGTCGTTTCACACCCATCGAGCCATAACACGCGTACTTACAAGCTGGCGTCCAACACCCAGCGTTGGTAGTGCAGGATGTCGTTGTATTGGGACTGATTGGGTTGCTTGCCCAGGAGATAGGCACCTGAATTGAGGGCCAAGGTCTCCACAGCCGACAGCGAACGGGTCAGTTGAAACACAATGCCTTGCTGCACCTGAAGTGGGAAGAGCGATGGGGTTGATGAGTGGAGATCCAGACAGTTGGGGGTGTAGGTGTAAGTGCAAGGGACGGATTCATATACAAATGAACGCATATGCGTGCGTGTGCGTGTGTGTGTGCGCGCGCGCGCGTGTGTGTACGTGTATGTACGCGTGTGTGTGCGTGTGTGTGCGTGCTTATGTATATGATGCACTACTGCACCATTCACATACCCGTCTTTGCAAGTATCAGTACATATTCAAAGTATTTCTGTATAACCAGAAGCGTAGTATCTTAACATGCTCACATGCATGTGCATGTGTATCATGAAGTAAACCCTAAACCCTAAAAACTCTAACATTTGTATCATGAAGTAGTGGGGAATGCTACACGCGTGTAGCCAGCTACACATGGGAATTGAATACACTCAACAGCACGCGAGTGTGTATCTAAATCACTAGCACCCACTACGCACACGGACAAACTATCTCCAACCAATCGCAACTACGATAGCCTCAGTTGTTCGAGGAAAACCGGATATACGCACTTGAGAAGACCTTAGCCTCAATAGGTTAGTGTACATGCATGAACGCGTACTCGTATTACATTCTCAGTAGATGCAACGAAGGTACCGCAGGGATGACGAGAGATGAATTGCGCAATAAAACTATCAACGGTAATGTATCGTGCCTTCGGTGACAGTGGTGTCAATGAACCTGACAGCAGGTGGTGATCGGTCGATTGCATGTTACAGACATAAAACACAGACACAGACACAGAC